AATAAAATGGTCCAAGTGAATATTGAACCCACGCTGCCTAACATGATAATATATGAAGGTTGTTTGAAAAATTCAGAAAATAAAAAGAAATGGGGCGAAGGGGGATTCAAACCCCAGTTCTATAGGTTCAAGGTACAAAGGCGCGCAGGTCATAACCACTGGGGTGGTGATACATCCATTATATCACCTTCCCAAATTAAAACAAATACCTAACAATGCCCAGAAACTTGACCTAAGGCGCCATGGCTGGCCTTGGTCATCTTCATCAATTTTGGTCATGCAAGAAGCACCCTAACTCACTTAATACTGAATGAAATTAGATGATATAAAAACCAAAATTGTCTAATTTTTCATGAGGAATTCAGCGGTGGTGTTGATTTTGTCTAAAAATGTCCCTATTTAAAAACACGATAGGGAAACCTAAAATGACTCATTTTTGCAAGTTCTATGGTACAGTTTCATACAGTCATGAATAACATCATTTAAGGGTTCAAACACATCACATATAACATATCAAACAAGTCCATGATTAATGTACATCAAAAGAAAGCATGGTTTACAAAGTTCTAAGTTTGAGGAAGCTTACCTCTAGGAGCAAACTTGAAACTTCTACAAGACTTGATATAGAAATCCTTTGATTCCTTTGACACCTTCAATAGACCTCTTATGAAGCTCTAAGATGCTTAGAACAAAGAGAACCCAATTGGAACAAAATAAAGCTTCCTTCTTGTAAAATGTCAAAAGTGGCCAAAAGGGAACTTCAAGGAAATGAAGTAACAGAAGAAAAACAAGGTTTGGAAAAGTTTAGGGATGTTTTATGGAGTGTGTTAGGAGTGTTAGAGTGTATGGAAATGGTCAAAATCAAGACTTGGCTTGAAAAATCCAAAAAGTCAACAAAATTAGGTTTTGGAGGTTGACTTTTTGTTCTAGCAGGTTTGGGGTGAAGATGAAGGTTTGGACACCTTCAAGGGGTGATTTTTGAAGTGTTTGAATAAGTTTTTGAGTTGTTTGACGTTTGGAGAATACATATGGGGTGTTTGTGCAAGTTTGAATTTCTTGGCACAAAAGGAAAAAATGGACAAGCTGCTGGTTTGAGAGGTTTTAAGGGAGGAAAGCTGAGGTTTTTATTGTGTGTTAGATGCTTGGAATAAGCCTATATTTATAGGTAAAGGTTGATGTTCAATGCTCTGCAAAATTGTAACTTAGTTTGGTTGAAATGCAAAGGGTGATTTCATGGATTTTGGAGTTCCAATGTGAGGTACCATGCTTTCTAGAGTTGTTGGAAAGCTCAGACACTTTTCTTATGCATAAATAAATTTTTTGGTGTGGAGAAAACCATTTAAAAGCTCAAAACAAGTTGACTTCTTGATTAAAGGCACTTTATGGAAATGGAAGTGTTAACTTTGTGCAAAAACTGAATGAAACATTGAACAAAGCCATAATCACTTGGATAATACACCAAAAGCAAGTGTACTTGTCTAATTTAAGTGAGATTTGCAAGTTAAATAGGCTGTAATCAAGGATTTTTCAGATTTGAATTGCTCTTACAACTTGCACTTGACATGAAAATGACCAAGGTTTCAAGTATGAAGGCCATCTTTCTCTCTTAGAAACTCCTAGCTCAAAAAAACTATGGGTGAGTTCTTGTACTTTTTTAAAATTCCCAAACATGCTCTACAACTTTCATGTTTGATGATTTTCTTGAATCTCAATGGATCATAGTCAAAACTAGCTCCAAATATTGGTACTTTTTGTGAATAAAATTTGTCTTGAAAAATTTGTAAGTGTTGAAACTTTTTTACAAACTTGATGGCTTTATAACTCAAAATATGTGCACCTGTTAGAGATTGACCCTTATTGACAAAGTTGTATTATGTTTTAAGGGCTTCAATTTGATCTTTGGAACACAAAAAATGGTGGTCTAGATTGAAAGTTATGACCTTTTAAAGTTGGTACAAAATTAGGGTTTTTCCTCCATACTTAGAAAATTTTCACTTCTTAAACTTTTTCCCTTTTGCAAGAAACCTCTCAATTATTGATTTTTCATGCTCAAACTCATTGATAAAACATGTCTTCATGAAATTTGGCTTGAGGATTTCACTTTTGACCAAATTTTCCAAAAGCCAAAGAGTTGACTTTGTAGATAAAAGCTTGTGTATCTAGTGAATTCAATTGTGTGATCTTCAACTCTCTTGCATTCTTGAACCTTTTAAACATCATGGATGGACTCCAAGGATGTATTTAAGTGTCTTGAGCCATATCCCAAGGATTGGGATCATGCTTTGATCAAAAGTCAAAGGCACTGTTGGCTTTTCCTGATAAAACACTAATTGATGACCAGATGAAGTTGCAGTTGATTCTTGATGGAGAGAAGCCTCTTGAGTGTATGTACACTTGGTAGGTTGATTATTAATCCAAAACACTAACTGATCAAATAAAGATCTTCTTGATTCTCTTGATTCAAACCCCTAATTTAGGTGAAACAAAACAAAGAAGAATTATACAAGGTTAGGGTTGGCAATGCAATGTGTGATGCTTCTAGAATGATGGTGGAATCTAGGGTCAAAATTTGGGGTTTAACAACATTCAAAGCAGGGTATGTTAAATTCTTCCTACTCGAAACCTCCATAAGTGCTTATAAGTTTATTATTGTAAATGAATACTTGTCGATTGTGTAAGTTATTTTGACACAATCCTCACCTTAGAAACTGAATGAAAACTCAATGGTCAAATGGGTTTTTATCCCTTGCCTTATACAAATTTTATTAAAGTTATTTGAAAAAACCTCTAAGAATTTACCATGCTTTGACCTTAAATCCCATAGCTTGTTCATTTGATGAAAGTCTTCTTTAGCTAATGATGAATGAATAACAACATTAGAACCTTCTAAAATATACAAGCCACATATTTTAGACCTTTTATATATGATTACTTCACCATTAGAAATCTTCAATACCTCATGTTCAAATCTAGTGTAATATCCTACATCATCAATAATCTTATGGGTAAAAAATTTCTCTATAGCTTACAATTATCAAACATTTTAAGCCTGATATACCAATACCATGAACCTTACAAGTTTTATTGTTACCAAGGTGAACTACTCCCCTTTCCTCAAGCCTCAAAATTTCAAAATATTATTTTCTTAAGCACATGCAATAAGAGCAACTTGAGTTCATGACTCAATCCTCTTCAATCTCTAAACTCGACACCACTTGCACTAGCACTCTCATAACTATTGTCATTAGAGGAAACAACAATCTAAACAAAATCATCATTGTCTCCCTCTCGGGACAATCCCTCTTGAAGTGACTCGTTTTTTAACAAATAAAGAATTTTAATCTTGACTTGTCAAACATCTTTTATTTGGACACCCGTATACACTCATTTCCTTCTCTTGAGATATTCAAGTCTTCACCATTATCGTAAATATTCAAATCCTTCTCCTTTAAAAATTTGTTAGTTTTGGAATTTCCATTTTTGTTTGTCTACTTAAAAAATATGTGTTATGTGTTTTGATGTTGTTGTTGTTTTATGATGCAGAGATTAACATTGATGGATCTACTCGTCTAAGCAAATACAAATTCATTAGACTTTTATTAGAATGTTTCTTTGGGTGGTGCAGCACGAAAGATAGTTAATCAACCCCCAAGATAAGAATGAGACGTCAATTCCTCAACCAATTCCAATGCGAAGATTTTCATGTATGGTCATCGATATGGCATGTGCTATCGAAATACATATGAGATACCATATCCTAAATAGAATTTTCATCTATCTCGTCGTGTATAAACATCAAACGAAGGTAAATGTGAGGTTTTCCCCTTCGGTTAGGCATGCCAATATAACTTGTACCTGCGGGTATCCACCAGAATCCGCCCCGAATTTGACAGGAAAAACTTGCTTTTATTGATTTTGGATTCAAATTTAGGCTTACCCCTATAACAAAATATGGGGACAGTTCGGATAACGAAGACAATAGTACCCACCCCAAACCCGCCTCGTTTATTTCATTATGTACTTTGTTATTTAGTTTTGATAATTTAGAATATTAAATATGTGGTCAAACATTCGATATATTGATATGTATTTATTATTTAAAATATTTGAAATGTATGAATGTAATTTTGTTGAGGTTGTTTGAATTAATTAATGTAACTTGAGTTAAATAAATAAATAATTTTATTTAAAAAAAATTGATTCCAATAAATGAATAGTAGTTAGGCAGGAATACCCGAGCCCAACAAGAATCCATTTAAAACGGATTTGAGTTTTAATTATCTATCCCCGTTAGGGATCAGGAGGAGGAATGGAGTATGATTGAAGATTCGATTTTAGGCTTGAAGAAAGTAAAAATTATCCCCGACTTGCCCCATTGTCATATCTCTCTTCGATTAACATATTCATCCGGAAAAAGAAAGTTGTACACTTTCAAATTTTCACACTAATCATTAACCCAAAGAAAAAAAAATAGTACACTTTTTATTACATCATTTATAATCTCATCAATTCAACTGAACTAATTTTTTTTTTTTGGAATAATAATGAGCTTACATGCATTTCAAACTGCTAGAACAAAATTATTATGTGTTGATAAAACTATATAACAGTAATATTTAAAAGGTAGTATAAAAATATTTACAAAGTCTAATTATTGTAAAGTTACAAAAATTATTACAAAAGCAAAAGTAAAAACAGTTAGATGGAAAAAAAAAACTATGCTGGCTAAAGTCTATAAGAATAAAAATAAAAAAATAATATTTGTAAGTGATAAGGACTACAGTTTACTTTCTCAATTTCTTTCCCAAGCGTTAGTCTTATTTAATTTATATCTATCTGTATAAATTTAGTTGATTCTTTCAATACAAATTTTTTAATAGTAAAATTAGTTTATATAAGGACATTTTTGTAGAGCTTTAATTCTTCATTGAGAAAGAGAGAGAGAGCTTCTCATAATCCAAACAAACCTTAATTAAGAAAAGTACACACAGAGACAAGAGATGGCTGTCAATAATGAAGGGAAACATCAAAACCAAACCATCCAATACAAAGATCTCGCTCATAAGACTCTCCTTAATAGTGATGCACTTTATGAGGTAACCACTCTTCATTCTTCACTGTTATATTTTCTAGTTGCTATATAAACGATATATTTTTATAAATTATAAGTCTCTTGTGTTGTTCAGTATATCCTTGAAACCAGTGTGTTTCCAAGAGAGCACCCATGTTTGAAGGACATTCGTGAGATGACAGAAAAACATCCAAAGTAAGATTATATATACTATCTCTATTCTATTTTTGTTGTTTAGAAATTAATACTGTTTGTTTTACTAATTTTGATATAACTACTTTAATTCTACTTTATAGTATCTATATCTGATTCATTTTATGCAATAAATAAGTAATCTGCACGATGTTGAACACCAGGAGCCTTATGGCTGTGCCTGCTGATGAAGGACAGCTTATAAGCATGCTGATTAAGCTCATGAATGCAAAGAAGACGATGGAGATTGGTGTGTACACTGGTTACTCTCTTCTCTCCACTGCTCTTGCTCTTCCGTCCGACGGAAAGGTAAGCCTCAACCCTATAAGCACGGATACGTCAAAAACAACTTGATATTGACTTGAGAATATTGATAATAATTTAAACAATTTAATATTGACCTGACAATATTGATAATAATTTAAGCGGAATTATAATTATCAATGCATATACAGACTATCGATAATACAAAAGGGTTTTACACCGTCAGTTAGGGTTTACAATGAACAGAACCAACTCGAAAATAGTTCGGAATTCGATTCGACAATTAAATTATGGAATTAGGTTCATGAACCAAATGAATTGAGTATGAACGAAAAATTAAGTTCGTTAACTAAATGAATTGAACTTGAACTATATATAGTTCGACTCGTTAGGTTCATGAGTCAACTCGATTACATAAGAGAAGAATTATATTGTCTTTAAGATTAAGTTTAAATACTTACCTCAAATCTTAGACAAATTTAATCTTCAATTTAGTAGTTTTTGAATTAGACTCTCAAATGTATCTCTTGAAAGTTGTGTAGGTTTTGAATTATTAGATTTCGAAGATAAAGTTAAATTTAAATATGATAAATTTTATTTTTAAAAAATATATTTATTTAAAATGTCAAATATATTAAAATATATATATTTAAAAAAATAGTTTTTAAATCCGTGAATCATGTGAGTTGAACCTAATGAGATGAACCTAACGAGTTGAACCGAACTGTTAACGAGTCGAGTTTAAGCTTAAAAAAATTTCGTGTCGGACTCGAACTCGAACCAATTCTTAACGAGTCGAGTTGAGTTGAGGTGAGTTCGACTCGACTCGACTCATTTGCAGCATTACCGTCAATTAATCATAGTCATTAAATATTTAGAAGAATTTGACTGTTATGTTAACTACTTATAAAGTAAGGCAAACAGATGTTGGTGATGAATCGACGATGTAAAATTCTTTATATTAAAAGTGTATAGTAATTAATCTAAAAAAAATAATTAAGAGTTTTATTGATAATATTAAAAGATAAATTTAAATAATTGAAAACTAAATAAATAAATACAAAATGGCATGAACAGTTCATTAATGCTATAAAACAATATATATTTTGATGTAAATTTTGTTTATAATTGAAGTTTGCAAGAGTGTAGTGTGCTATTGTACTCAATTTGATTTTTTATTATTTATTTAGCAAAGAGGAATAAATAACTTTCGAAGAGGATAAACTTTTGCCACCTCACATTGTGATCTGTCATGTTTATAAAATAATAAAAGTTAAATGTATGATCTTAGAAAAATGCTATTCCTACACCCTTTTCTACACCCAATACTTACACCGTATGCACTATACACCGTATTTATACGGTGAACAGTGTTTTTTTTATTAAAATAATATATTTTTTTAAAATATTAATTTTTTTTAAAAGAAATATTTATTTTTAAAATTTATTTTATAACACAAATATAAGATTGCGCATTAACCAACTTCACAGTTGTATTAACCACAAAAATCTACATTATTAACCAATTATTTTACCTATAATTTATTAACCACTTTCACTACTTCATTAACCAATAAAATACACACTATTAACCATGTTCTGGGGAATTTGTTCAAGTATTTGTGAACAGTAATTGAGGTGTAGGGTGTAAAGATGGGTGTCAACATAGCAATCCTGATGATCTTATTCCTCATATAGGATGTTATAATGATTTAGTTAATGAACGTGTGTGTCACCTTGTCTTTAATTAATTGATTGTTAATGAACGTGTGTGTCACCTTGCCTTTAATTAATTAAGTCAATCGATTATTTCCACCCGTTTATACTGGACTTGTTTGTTTTATCTTTAAATATTTTCTTTGAATTTTTGAAAATGAATTTTATAAAAATATTTTTTTAAATATTACAATTTTTAAAAATTATTTTTTATAAATTAAAGACTAATTTTGACATTTTATAACATAAATATATATATTATTAAATATTAAAATATAATCAAAATTATAATTTTTCAAAAAGGTGTATCTCAAAAATGATTTTTATAAAATACTATTTAAAATAACTTTAAAATTAAGTGATATTTTGAAATTTTGATATCCAAAAAAAAAATCGATAAATATCTTAAATAAAATTTTAATAATAATTATTCTAACTAAATTTTTATTTGTAGCGAGATTGTTTGAACCTTTTCGTGAGGAGATTTTTGTGAGGGGTTTAATCCTCGCAACAAACCAATTTTTATGTATTGCTCAAGCAAGATTTAGTACACTGAAATTTCTCATCAGAAGACTCATCTTCTAAGTCACTGAAATTAATGTGTAATTTATTATTTACTAGGTATTGGCTTTGGACATCAGTCGTGAATACTATGAGTTAGGATTGCCGATGATTGAAAAAGCTGGAGTGCTTCACAAGATTGACTTTAGAGAAGGATATGCTCTTCATCTTCTTGATGAACTTCTTCAAGATGTGTGTTTGCATCATTCAAGCACATATTTCCAACTTATAATTTTATATATAATGATTAATTGAATTAGAATCCATAAATTTTGCAGGAAAATACCAAGGGAACATTTGATTTTATTTTCGTGGATGCTGATAAGAATAACTACATAAACTATCACAAGAGGGCAATTGATCTGGTTAAAGTTGGGGGATTGATTGGATACGACAATACCTTATGGAGTGGGTCAGTGGCGGCTCCACCTGATGCACCTATGATAGACATCATTAGGAATTTTCGCGATTATGTGATTGAGCTCAACAAGTATCTAGTTCAAGATTCAAGAATCGATATTTGTCAGCTCTCTGTAGGAGATGGAATCACGCTTTGTCGCCGTATAAGCTAACTCTTCTCCTGTGCTCATTTGTTTGCTTGGAAATAATTTGGATTTTATGTGTGGATCCTCTTGTTGTGTATTGTTGTTATATCTTTCATATGGCTACTTTGATTAATATTTCTTGTGCTTAATTTTTGTGTTATATATGTTATTAAAAGTGTTTTGGAGACCAGGATATTCAATTTTGTAGCATGCATTATCAAATTGGTATTCTTAAAATAATTGTGATTTGTTTGTTTGTTCTTGAAAATTTTGGAAAGCTCGAAACCCCACGTTTTTTGAATGAAGTTTAATTAGAGAATCATGAATATGGTTGGTCGTATAAAAATAACTTCATGGTTAGTGGATTAAGAGCAAAGCCAAAAAAATATTGATTATGGTTTATTCTTTTGGTGGTCAAATGATGACGTGGAATGCTTGTTTGGTGTAAAAGTTCAACTTCCTTTGCATGTGCTTGTTATGGTTTAAATTCAACTTTTTGTTGCTTGAAATTTTATCAGGATAACACCAATGATATTTACGAATGAGGGAGTGAACTAAAGATTAAATGGAAAATTTTGGCATATGGTTATTATTGTATGTATTTTTTTTATCTTAATGCTATAATCTAGCGGTAGGGTCTTTGTAAACACTTTAAAATTATTTTAGCGTTGAAGTTAGTAATACAAAATAAAAGATATTTCATTACAAAACAAATCTTATATAGTTAGAGAATTTTGGCATGGGTAAAACTCCTAACTAAAAATATAAATATAAAAAAACGTGAGGCGACCTTTCGTAAATATGAAAGAAAAATATTTTAAAATTTGAAATTGACATAACTAAAGGTCATCCTTCAAAAAGAAGAAATAATGTCAAAATGGAACTGACAAATGTTGTCCTTTGCAAGAGGATACCCCTCATCAAATATATTTGTTACATTAGTAAGGGAATACCCCTCTCCAATTAGGGTTAAATCAAATTAGTCTAAAATGTATTTGTTACATTTGCTAAAGCCTGCTAGTTGCCTGCAAATTGTCTATGACACGTTAATCATTTGCTAGGGCAGTCCCTAAATATTTTTTATTTATAAAATATGTGATATATGATAAATCATATATAATATATATATATATATATATATATATATATATATATATATATATATATATATATATATATATATATATATATATATATATATATATATATATATATATATATATATATATATATATATATATATATATATATGTGTGTGTGTGTGACTTTATTTCTAAAATGCATTTTTTATTTATAAAATATGTGACATATGATAAACCTCAAGATTTTGATGCAGATGAGCTCTCAAACGAGAAAGTGTAAATTTTTTATCAATTATTGAAAGAAACAAATTTACCACTATTTGAGGGGTCTTTTGACTCTAGGCTATCCATGTGTGTGAGGATGTTGGTTGTGAATTCAAATTGGAATATTCTTGATCAAAGTTTGGAAATCTTTGCAAAATTGATGTTGGACGCGACTCCTGTGAAAGAAAACATGCATACAAGTTATTATGATGAGAAAAGGATGGTGTCGAAGTTTGTACTAGACATAAAAAAGATTGATTGTTGTATTGGAGGTTGCATGTTTTTTAATGACAACGAGTTTGGTACAAATGATGAGGGATTGGAGGAATGTAATTTTTGTCAGAGTTCAAGGTATTTAGTTCGCATTAAAGGCGTTGATCGAAAGGAAAACGAGTTGCAGTGAAGTCCATGTTTTATATGCCAATAATACCTAGATTGAGTAATGTAATTTTTGTCAGAGTTTGGTACAAATGACGGGTTTGGTACAAATGACGGGGGATTGGAGGAATGTAATTTTTGTCAGAGTTCAAGGTATTTAGTTCGCATTAAAGGCGTTGATCGAAAGGAAAACGAGTTGCAGTGAAGTCCATGTTTTATATGCCAATAATAGCTAGATTGAAAAAAATGTTTGCGCCAATTCATAGTGCAAGCAAAATGACATGGCATCATACAAATACCAGTAGTTCAGACATGATGGCCGGCATGAAAACACTTTGATAAAGTACATCCGAATTTTACAGCAGAACTCAGAAATGTCAGACTTAGATTATGCTCAGATGGTTTTACTCTATATATCCAATTGTCAGCAATTGCATATTCTTGTTGGCCAATTACTGTTACCCCGTACAATAATTCTCCTGAGATGTGCATGAAGCAACCTTACATGTTTTTGGAATGCCTCATTCCAAGATTATACAATGTCCATCTCATGATGTGTCTCGTAAATAAAATTTTAATATGTGAGCTACTTTGATGTGGACAATTAACGATTTTCCTACATATGGCGTGTTGTTTGTGTTGTAAATCAGATGTCTTTAAACAAAGTATAAAACAATTTCTTAATGATCAAGAAACACACAAGGGTTAGGGTTAACAAAGAAGACAAGGTAAAACAACAAGGAACAACAAGGATTGGTTATAAACCGTTATTATTTCCTTTGTCTTATAATAAGATTACAAGTATACAAGAATAACAAAATAACCTCTCTCACTTGAAATTAGGATTTTATCTTCCTTTTTTCCTTATGCCAAGATTGAGAAACTAGCATCCTATTTATAAGAAAAATAGCACACTAACCTAATGGGCTTTTTAACAATTACCCATTACAAGTTAACTTAGGGTACAAGCTAACTTAAACACTTGGACTTACAAGCAAGGCCCAATCCAATATGCTAAAAACCTAGCAATATTGACTAATGCATGTTAGAACAAACTTCGACTACAATACGCATTATCTTTGACAGCAGCATGCGAACAAACTTTGACCTCATGCTTAATTCCTGTCGAACCAGAAGCTACCATTTGACCATACTAGAGTTCGATCCAACATCTCACAAATCTCCACCTTGGATCTAACTCTATAACATCAAGAAACTAGCTTTCTTCATGCAGCTTTATCAACTGCATATAGTGGAAAAACTTGCAACTGGACGACGTCTTGGTGATCATATCAGCAACATTATGATCTGTCAAAACCTTCAGCACTTGGACTTCTCCACACTTGATTACCCCTCTAATAAAATACAACCTTACATGAATGTGCTTGGTTCACTCATGATAGGCTGAATTCTTCGACATGTGTATTGCACTTTGACTATCACATTTAACAGTGATAACTCGACCTTGAAGTTTCAGCTCCTTTGCAAAACCTTCAAGCCACAACGCTTCCTTCATAGCTTCAGTTAGGACAATATACTCCTCTTCAGTGGTTGATAGGGCAACGACCTTCTAAAGCGTTTCTTTCCAACTGATTGTTGTCCTAAACATAGTGAACACATATCCAGAAATAGATTTTCTGGAATCTATACAACCTGCATAATCAGATTCGACATATCCTTCGATTGTTGCTTTACTATCTTCACCCAAGACTCTACCAGAAATTAGGACTTTATTCAGAGACCCATTTATGTATCTTAGAATCCAGTTCAATGCTTGTTAGTGAGCCTTTCCAGGATTCGCCAAGTACCTGCTTACTAGACTTTATTCAGAGACCCATTTATGTATCTTAGAATCTGTTCTGGTGGCCTGGTATGAAGCGTGATGTGGCACGATTTGTTTACGCATGTTTGACTTGTCAGAAGTCGAAAGTTGAGCACCAGAAACCTGCTGGGTTGATGCAACCGTTAGAGATTCCAGAATGGAAATGGGACAACATTTTGATGGACTTTGTAACGGGTTTGCCGAACACCTTGAGAGGATGTGATTCTATTTGGGTGATTGTTGATAGGCTTACAAAGTCAGCTCACTTTATTCCTATTAAAATCACTTTTCCGGTATCGAAGTTGGCAGAGATTTATGTCAGAGTGGTTGTTAAGTTGCATGGTATCCCGTTATGTATTTTGTCGGATAGAGATCTAAGGTTTACGTAGGAATTTTGGAAGAGTCTGCAAGAGACATTAGGTTCCAAGTTGAGGTTGAGTTCAGCATACCAACCTCAAACAGATGGTCAAACTGAACAGACTATTCAGTCTTTAGAAGATTTGTTGAGGGCATGTGTTCTGGAGGAAGGCGGTTCGTGGGATACCTATCTTCCATTGATAGAGTTTACTTATAATAACAGTTACCACTCTAGTATCGGAATGGCACCGTTCGAAGCTTTGTATGGTCGGAGATGTAGGACTCCGTTGTGTTGGTATGAATCCGGAGGGAGTGTGGTACTTGGACCGGAAATCGTTCGGGAGACGACGGAGAAGGTGAAGTTAATCCGAGAAAAGATGAAAGCTTCACAAAGTAGGCAGAAAAGTTATCATGATAAGCACAGAAAGGATTTAGAATTTGAAGCTGGAGACCATGTATTCTTGAGAGCATGCCTGTGGCTGGTGTTGGTAGAGCATTGAAATCTAAGAAGCTTATGCCTCGTTTCATTGGTCCTTATCAGATTTTGGACAGAGTTGGAAAAGTTGCGTATCGAGTGGCATTGCCGCCTAATTTGTCGAATCTGCACGATGTATTTCATGTGTCACAGCTCCGAAAGTATATCTCAGATCTGTCGCATGTCATTCCCATGGACGATGTGCAAGTACGTGAGAATATTACGGTGGAGGCGATGCCTGTGAGGATTGATGATCGTGAGGTGAAGACGTTAAGAGGAAAAGAGATTGCTTTGGTGAAAGTGGTCTGGTTGGGAGCCGCTGGCGAAAGCTTGACGTGGGAATTGGAAAGCAAGATGCGGGAGTCTTATCCAGAACTGTTTGGTTGAGGTAATTTCGAGGACGAAATTCCTTTAAGTAGGAGAGAGTTGTAACGCCTGTTTTACTTCGATTGATTTAATTATGGATTTTTGCCGTGTCTCGTGGTGTCGTAGTCGTATTCGAGTGTATTGGGTAAAGATTAGTCGGGAAATTGGACTGTTAGTGCGAAACAGAAGCAAAAGAGAAGAAAATGGAATTTTTGCTGATGTGACGCTCGTCACAAGCGGGTTACGGTCGTCACGATTGTTACGATTGTCATGTGCCCATTAC